ATTCTTTATTTACAGGTGAGAAGGAAATAGTGGGAACATTGATGGGCTTTGATGATTACGTAAATATGGTGTTGGAAGATGTGGTAGGTTGTTTTGTTTCCTTTTCTTTTCTAAAAAATTACTTGATTTTACCAACTTTGTAGGTTGAATATGAACAAACTCCGGATGGTAAAAGAGTCACGAAACTAGATACGATTTTGTTAAATGGAAACCACATAACCATGCTTGTTCCCGGTGGTGAAGGGCCAGAAGTTTAGCAGAATTTTTCTAGCTATACATTATTGTTTGTTATTACCTGTACTTGTATTGGCAACATGCTCTTCTTCAGTGTTCTATGATCATCAGTTTTGTTCTGTGTTGCTACATCATTTGACATTACGGTTTGTTGATTTTGATTGAAACTGATGAAGCAGAATTTTTAACATCTTCTTCTATAGTCAAGTATTTGTGAGAACGGGGTCTTAGATGAACATTTAATATAAAATCAGCGTGGGATGTATTTCCTTCGACACGGCTTTGATTACTCAACTCACTCCCTCCTTTAAAAATCTTCTCTTTGTGAAATTTGACCTTCAGACATCTCGTGACCCAATCATTTTTTGAAACATTCTCACGTTGCAGATGCGAAACCCTATGCGGGTAGTTAGCATTGGCGAAAAAGCACATTGCTTCCCGATTTTCTTTCGAGGTAGTGAGTGCTCCAATTTCGGCTAAAGAACGTGGAATCAAAAGAACATTTTCAGACGAGTTAGTACGAAGATCAGTAGGTTTACTTGCAATCAAATATCCCACATGTCGAGAAGATGCTAAATATTAGTAAGCAAGCTAAACATTCGATTGTTACTGATAATGGAAGACCATATGGTTTCTTCAGCCATACTTTTTGACGGCAAAAAATCTGGTGCATTAAAGAGAGTTTTCGCGTAAAGTTGTATCAGGCTGGTGCTAAGATCAGGTTCTTCTAACTATCTAAATTGATATATCTCATAACTTTATAATATAAATTCATAACTTTATGTGGATCAGCATTGACTGTCGCCTTCAATAGATTGTTATCAAATGTTGGTGAACAGTTGCCGTGTGGTTCGTCTTCGGGGCTGGTGGAGGAGGAAACTTTTGAAATTGACGCTGAACATTCGTTGATAATCACATTTGAAGAGATCAATGCATTTGTTACTGAGAAAACATAGAAGATGCTATGGCAAATAGAGAAAATGAGTTTCTAGTTCTTTGTGTTGATTTCTGTTCATCACCAAAAAATTCGAGATCAGTTGCCTTCCATAGCTCTGATAAAGGTCTTATTGTTATAGATTCTTATTGAACTTCTTGTGCTAAGCCTCTAATTGGAATTGATAGAACTAATAGCTTTTGTCAAGGTTTGTAATTACATCTTGAAGGTATCGTTTCTATGAAATGATATTATTATAATGCTGAGATTTTGTAAATGCGATCTCTTGCACATTTTATTTTCGTTTATTTGTACTTGTATTTAAGATTTCATCTGAATATAGGAAGGACTAACCATTTCTCTTCATATAAAAAGTCACAGCAAATGTAAAATTAGCTCGTGTACAGAGGAGTCATAAAACAGGTAAATTTGCAAGTAACATGAT